ACAATCATTAATGACATGACCCAAATACTTAACTTCACTGCACACTGTTAAAATATTATCAGATAACTTAAAAGAAGGAAATACAAGGGACCTGTCCTCGTTTGTACGGCATATCATAATGACACTTTTGACAGCATTATACTTGACATCGTGACATTCCCCAAACACTGAGCACACGTTCAAGAGCTGCTGAAGACCTGCTGAGCTGGGACTAAAAATCACAAGGTCGTCTGCATACATTAAATGATTCACAACTTTGTCACCGACCATACATCCCGTTCTGCACATATTTAATTCTTTAGACAGATCACTCATGTAAAAATGAAACAAAATTGGGGAAAGCAGACTACCTTGTCTTACGCCGTTACCGGTCTGAAAAGGCGCAGATATACAGTTATCCCATCTAACAGACATAGTCTGGTGGGCATACCAGTATGACAAACATCTCACAATTTTTGTTTGCTTGTTTTGGTTTTTGAACTGCAACACCACAGACTGCACTCAGGGAAGAGTCCATTCACTTACAGAGGCTCAGCAGTTTTCACCAGCTTTGTATGGTTACACATTTTAGATGCAATGTGTTTCACTAGCACTTCACACTTGACCTCCACTTCCGTCCCACACAAACAGCACAGTTCACACAAAGATAATTCTCCTTTTCTCTGGAATTGAAAACAGAGGGCTTAACAAGCCAATTGCCACACAGCGAGCACAGTGAATACATCACCACTTACCTAGACTGAGCATTGGTTTTGTGTGTGTGTGTGTAAGAAGGATGTGAGTCTGACACAGATGGCTATTTTTGGAATTCAGCTGTCAAGGGCGAAGCAAACTGTGTAGAACCTATTGCTTCCAAAACAGATTTTAAATGCTGTAGCTATAATAGTGTGTATAAATATCACAGTGCAAGTCATTTTACTAGTATACCTGATTGAGAGCAATGCACCAGTGCTTTTAGCCTGAAAGCTGTTCTGTTCTTGGTGAATGCTAAAATATTCAGAATCAGCCTCACATGGAGGAAGATTTAATATGAGATTTTACCTGCTCTCTAATAATGTTCAATTTATTCAGTGTATTTGGTCTGATTTTCATTTCATTCCCACTTACACAGCCTCCATCGGTGGAATACTGCATTACTCAGTCAAAATGGAGATATCCTCTGTGCCCTGTGATGCAAATTAAATGTGCATTTCTCAAAGCCTGTAGCTTCTGTCCTCCTCTGTCTCTCTCTCTCTTACTCATCCACATCTCTTTCCCCTCCCCCATTCTTTGCTACACCAGAGTCGTGCAAGCTCTCTCTGAATGGGTGTGGCGATGATGCTCTCTGCCTCCTTGCATTATGGGTAATGTCAGGGTCTCCCTGCATTGCTGTAAATATGGAGTCTGTGTGCTACAGTGTGGGGTTTGGATCTTAAAATCCACCCCAGCCAGTATCACACTTGGTTTTGTGAATACATTCGTGGACCTAGGATTACTGCAGGTTGCATTAATGTTTCTTTTTTTTTTTAATGATCATGCATGAGGAGGAGGTGTTTATGGGGTGATAAGGATGCTGGGTGCCGTCCTTGAGCTGCTGTAGGCTTTTGCTGCCCTCTGCAGGCTGGAGAGAAACACTGAGCCGGTAGAGGAGCTCAGGGGGTGACATCATTACCTCCAGCAGAGATCTGTCATGTGCTACCAGAAGCCCTCTTTCATATATATTCTCCTTAATCTGACATGCAGCTATGTTGTAGTTAGAGTGTTATACCTGGAGCTTTTATGTTCAACTGATGCAACTTTCCTGCCTTTTCAAACCTGTCCCTCTTTTCCCAGGAGAGCCAGGACTACGAGCCAGAAGCATAAAAGTACCAGTTTGAGTCAACATCCAACCAGCAGCACAATAATATTTCTAATAATTACAAGGACAAATGCTGAAACTATTACAATTATAACCCCGTTGCAAAAACAAACAAACAAAAAAAAAAAAACAACAAAAAAGATCAGCACTCCCACTGAAAAATGTTCTTCCTTCAAGAAAAATCTTTTATTATTATATATTGTAAATGTCATGTTATTATTGTAATGTGTTGGGTGTAGGTATTTATTGAGATGTAGGATTTGTCCTCTCAGTCTCATTTCCTTGATTCCCTCCCAATGAAATGAGACCAGAGCCAGGGCTCGTGACTTGTACTTACGTGTATCTGTATTTAGAAATGTGCAATAGATGTTCACAATCTTCCAATGAGGCATTGGGAGTGGGAAGAAAACATATACATATATATATTTTTTGCATTTCTTTATGAATTAAGTTGAGCATTTTTGAAGTACGAGTTTTCTACATTGTATCTTTATAGTTGCTTGTCAAATCATTCCAGTAAACTATCTGTTAGAAATGGACAGAGTATACATGTTTATGTGTGCGTGTGTTTGTGTGTACTGAAGATTTTAACAAGTTAAAGTCGATATATTATGTCCTGAAATCATAATGGTTGTCATATCAGTATGTGCTTTAAATTGCAGGACTTGTCAGTATAAAGGTTCACGTGTTAAGCCAGACATACAAATCTTCTGTAAATAAAAAGTAAAAAAGAAACCATTTGTTAGTGTTGTTTGATCATGTTCTGACACTGATTTCTTGTTAAATGTTAAACAACTTGTAATGAATTTGGTGTTTTTCTGCCTGTTGGTCTATCATTCTCACATTTCCCTTTTTGCTCACTCTTGTCTGCGGGGATTGATTATAGGATGTGTAGAATCTGCTGAACAGGCGCTGGCCCCTGGCAGGACACTGCTATAGTTGGAATGCCAATCTGATGTGGACCCATTGAGCAGGTTTTGTTTGGGTTAATCTGACTGGAACGTGCAGACTCAGTTCAGCTTGGCTCAAAAAGCGGGTATTAAACAGCCTCTCCCACTGCTGATGGCTCAGATGAATGCAGTGGATGTTGCAGGGTATGAAGACAGGAACCATGGCCTCATTCAAGAAGTCCTTTGAGACCCTGAAAGCCACAAGCCACTCAGCTGCAAAAGGAGTAACAGACACTGCAGGTACAGAGATATGGCAATGAGATCATGCATGACATATGTATGTCTATTATTCAGTGAAAAACCTTGAATCTTCTACAATAAACATTTATTTTTCACAACTTTTTAAATGTCTTTTAACATGTAAAGAACTGAGGTCTTAGATGCTTAAAGTTAACTGCAATAGTTTTTCCCTCCTGAGGTCAGTCCCTGTGATGTGTTTCCAGAGCAGGCAGCTGAAGATGCCGTGCAGCAGGTGGCAGACTCGGCCAAAGAAACAGCCAACATAGGTAAAAGTGCACACTGTCTGTAACAGTGGATTGGATAGATTATTTTGATCAGTAAATAAACAGGCTGCCAGGAAGAAAAAAAACCTTTCTTCCAAAATTAAATGTTTATAGTTCATGAAAGTTTTTTTTTTTTATTACATCTATAATGAAATAAACACATCTAAAATCTGCACCCAACTCTTAGTTAGAAAAGTATTTAAAAAGAGGAAAGATTAGCTATAAACATATTATGTAACTTACACAACGTTGTATGTGGTAAAAAGAATGATACATTTTTCAATACTTTTGTTTAATCTTCAAAATGTTACAAAAATAGAATGGCAACCTGAAACAGCTCATGAAAAAAATGGATATTGAATATGTTGGCTAGAGCTTGTTTAGAAGCGTGGACTGTTTTACTTCTCTTCTGCATCACTCTGACTCCTTCAAGCTGCTCAAGAAGCTGGCAGACAGACTCAGGCAGCCATAGGAAAAGCTGCAGACAAGGCCGTGGACACCATCAAGGAGACTGGGCAGAAGCTGGAGCCTAAATGATCCCTGTATTAGAAACACATCTAGCTAAAGCTGGAGCCAACTTGTCTGATTGTAGAAAAGTAGTAATTTTGGGATGGAAGTATGTTGCTATCAGAAAAAAAAGTATCACATCTCTACACAGCTAACATTCCAATAGGGAATATTTATGAATTCTTTTTTTTTAATTTCCCCTTGTGTTTCTTGTTTTATAGTAGAATTCATTATGTGTGACTAATTTGGGAAATAAAAACTAAGGAGGACTCGTTTATTAGGTTTAAATGTGATATCCTGCCACAAACAGTCGAGATAACACTGTTAGTAGCTGCAGAAGCACTGTGTGTGTAATGCATCCTGTTGTGGAGAGCGCTCATGAATGAATCACCACAGTCATTATTACCAACACATTGCTGACAAGATGGCCTTTGGCAGGCTGATGGCTCCTGATGAGAATGCGATCAGTGCTGTCTACCTTGGCCCTGAGCAGCACACCTCCCCTCATCACACTATGCGGTTGCTAGGCAACAGAGCTCTGTGGCAACCTGGGATTGGTGGAGGCCTTTGAATTAATGGTGAGAATACTTCTACCAATACACAGTGTTCTGGCAAAGCCTCAACCCACTGAAATAAAACCAAGAAAAGGAAAATTCTCAGAAATGAAAGAAATGTAAACATCCTCAGTCCCACACAATTAAATTAGACAAGGCGAGCAGAATCATGGAGAAAGAAGTCGCAAAGCAGAGCGGTTGGAAGGAGGACTGAGTATGAGAGCTGTGATGGTTTACAAGTACATGTGTGTGTGGGAGGCACAGCTCTGCTTCCTCCAGGTTCTTTTTGCTGATATCCTCTGTTGTCTTTCAAGTACTTTCACAGTTGCAGCATTGCATGAATATTCCATCCATTTCCTCCAGAAGACCCAGCTTTACTCTTTAATCTTCTGGTCCCGCAGTTAGCCTATGATGATCTGCCTCCACAAACCAAAGAATATGTCTTTTTATCTTTTCAGCCTGCTACAGCACATAGGTTTTCATGACAGCTGTCAAGCAAATTCACAGACACACATTACTGTCCTGCTGGTTCATTATTAAGAATGGGAATTCCTCTTTTGAATAGTTCACACACCCTTTTAAAAGCCCTCTCACTTATCACTTGTACTGCCATAAAAGCATTCATCAGCAATTTTTGCCCGTTCTAAAATTTCTCCAGAAAAACCAGTACATTAATTCCCAGGTTGATCTCTGCACAAGTTGACACTGTGTTGCTATGAGAACCTGGAGTTAATTACTATGTTTTACTGATGATTAGAAAGCTGAAAAGAGATTTTGTCACTACATTACCACTCGCCGCCAGAACCCGACCGTGGTTTCCAGGGAAACTGGAAATGTGAAGCTTTTCAACAGACACAGCCACAGCTTAAAGAGCAAGGATTGCCTAAGATAGATTCTTCTAGAGACAAACCTGTAGCCAGTCACTATCAATCAACAGGAGAGATGTACGGACAGATGTGGGGGGTCTTGATCAATGCTAAGATTTTGAGATGTTGGACCCAAATCTGAGAGAGAGTTATGGAGAGACTTCAGTCTGACTTGAGCTGCTGAGGTATGTCTGTTACTCGTGATTTCCTACAATTAGTTTTATCGTGGTTGTTTTCATAATTAAAAATTTCCTGTGCTTGTTTTTTTATGTGATTGTGGACAAAAGCAGAACATAAAAATGATTAAACATAAGCGGTTAATATTTTTATAGGGTGGGAAGGTCTGGCTTATAACCAAACAGTAAAATGCTTTAGTGTAATAAAGATATAACATATAAAATGCAATTTAATGATGTGCTTAATAACAGTAAGTACCCCCTGATTACAGTGTCGTATTATGCTAAAATCAGCATCTGAATCATTTCCATCAAGTAGTAGCAGTGATGTAACTTGGTTACATGTCAGTGGATACTTGACATCGATACTGTATGACAGAATATTTCTATTAAAAAAAAAACCATTTTTATCTTCTACTCATGCTTGGGCTTGTTGTTATTGTTGCTGAATACAAATTACACAAACAGTGTGTCAGTGCTGTGTTGTGCCCTGCAGGTACTTTCACCACTTTCATGCAGCTGCAGAATGGGAAGTCTTAAGGACGAGATGAAAGGTCTCAGAGAGGACCCCCAGCCTTGTGAGAAGACAGATGATGGAGAGCATCCAGGCAGCTCAGATGGCAGCGCTGTGCCCATGGAACCTCAGATATACACGAGTCAGGAGTTAGAAATTCAAAAGGACTGTCAGCCAAAACTACACATGAATGTCAGCACCACCGAGGAGGAAGGAAGCAAAAATCCAATATCCAAAGATCAAGCGCTTTCAGGAGGGGACTGTGACACTGGCTTTGTACAAGTTAAAGAAACCACTCCTCTAACACAACAACCCAAAGCTGATAAAACACCAACAGCTACACACAATGACATATCAGTCTCTATTAAGTTCCTCAGTGGTGATGAAGGAGATACTGAAATTCAGAGGGAAATCTCTAATGATAAAAGCATTGGTCAGAATAGAGAAAAAGAAATTGAAAGTATCTCGGTGCCTGTGCCATCAACCCCAGGCACCTCTGATCCACATTCCCCCAACATGCGTTCCCCTGCTCCTTTCGGACAGCATCACATGCGCACACAGGTGAGCCTGGAGGTGGTCCAGTGTCGCTCAGCAGCCACCAGCCCCATGACTCCTCCTGAGGGTGGAAACTCCTTCTTCTTCCCAAGCTCTTTTGGGAGATCTGAAGGTGTCAGTACTGACACTAAAGATGCCGAGCTACAGGTGGGTCAGCAGGTGGAGTTCTGCTCTGTTGCCACTTCCCCCATGACCCCAAAGACACCATCAACCACAGCTTTCCCAGTGCTTATTGGGAGAGAGACAGTGCGCAAAGAGGAGAAAGTGAAAAAGAGTGAGGAGCAGAAGGAGAGTGAACAATCAGAAAGTTTCCCTGTGACAAAAAGTCCACCAGAGGCAATTGGAGCTTTGAAGTTTACCACACCAAAGGAGCCGGCTGAAGGCTTCGACTCAAACGTGTCTCCAGAGAGCTCCACCGGCTGCCTGGCCGCTGGGTTAACAGGCTCACAAGTAACTGTGGAGGATAGTAATCAGCTGTGTAAGCAGCAGAGGATGGGAAGTATGGATCAAGACATTACGATCCTGGTGACCCATTATATCAACAATGAGGAGGACAAGGAAGAGAAGTCTGAGACATCTTTTTATTCCATTGAGCCAGAGATGGTCAAGATAGATGAATATGAGGAACCTAGTGACAATAATCAGGATCTAAAGTGGGAGGATGGGAAGGAAAAGATCTCCACAGAAACTCCTGCTCCCGATCAGGTTCAAGAAGCCTCAAACATAAATCCTTCACAAAATAAAACTGAAGATTCAGCTGTTCCTGCTAGTCAACAACCAGCAAGCATTATAAAATCTGACAGTCCAGAAGACAAAGAAAACAGAGATGCATGTGAAGAGACAAAAGAAGTGTCAAAGCCTCATGTTCCCGAATCTCCAGCTCCTTTCGGCTGCCACAACATCCGCACACAGGTGAGCCTGGAGGTGGTCCAGTGTCAGTCTGCGGCTACCAGCCCCATGACCCCTCCTGACGGGGAACAAGCCTTCTACTTCCCCAGCCACCTTGGGACATGTAGGGCTGCAGGGGCTGAGACTAAAGATGCTGAACTGCAGGTGGGTCAACAGGTGGAGTTTCGCTCTGTTGCTACAGCACCCATGACCCCGAGAACACCCACGATTACGACTTTTCCTGAGATCAGGAAGGGTATTAGCATCGAGGAGAAAATAGAGGAGGAGACAGAGGAAAAAAGGGATCAGGCTGAGGAGGACAAAAAGGTAGTACGTAAAGAAGAGTGGAAAGTAACTAAAGAGGAAAGGGCAGAAGCAGCTGAAGAGGACAAAAAGGAACCAATAACTTGTAAGGAGAAAGGTGAGGAGAAAGGAGAGGAGCCGGTGCAGGAAGTGAGCTGGGACGAGAAAGGGATGACATGGGAGGTGTACGGCGCAGTGGTGGAAGTGTCTGTGCTGGGCTCAGCCATCCAGAAACATCTGGAGAAACAGGTGAAAAAGCAGAACATACAGCCTCCCACCACCTCACCCCAGCCCCTCAGCTCCGAATCCAACCACAGGGGGTTGGGGTCAGGTAAGGGCCAGGCCGGGAAGAGGGCGGAGCGGGACGGGAAGGTGAGGCGACGCAGAAGAAATCCCTTTCGCTTACTGATGGAAAACATGCAGCAGCCACACTGTTGCTCTAGAGCTCACACCACTGAGTGACACGAGAAAAATCAACACCTTTACTGGAAGAAATCTGTGCTGAAATATCACAACGTGATATATGTGGTTGTGATACAGTGCATTCACTGGTTTACTTCAGCGTGACATTGTCTTGAAAGAGTAAGAAGCAACTGACCTTCTCACACAACGCAAAGAAGCACAAAAGCATTTAACATACAACTTGTAACATGAACAGTGATCACTGAGAATCAGCCGTGCAAGATGTTTTCATCCATTTTTTTCTTGGATTTCTCTTTTTCACACACTTCCTGTTACTTCTAGCGGTACAGACTGACAGATTAATGGCCTCCATGTTTGGAAAAACCAGGGTGATATATCAGTGTCATCGTTTGCTCTTCTCCTTTTATGTTTGACCGCTCAATTGTCCACTGACTCATTTTAGCTGTTGATGCTTTTTTATGCACCTCAGACAATATGAAGCCATGGCAACCAGCTCTCCTCCTGGTTGCTAACAAGCTTAACATTGCTTCAGCTGAGACAGATGACAGCAGAGCGACCGGTTCTGATAGTGATTTCTGACCTTGTGGTCCTTCAGTATAATCTGAGGTAACTTTGTTTTGGACATATGGAAATTTGAATTGATCTAAATGTCGATTTGATGTGTGTGAGAGGACTCTATCATTAGCGCAGGCTTTTGTGTGTCTTACTTTTTGCTTTTAGATTTGGCACATTTTGACTCAACTGTATTGTGAAAAGTATAAAAGCACAATCATGATTCGTGTAAGAAAAGCAATGACTCCTGATATGAGGGTATTTTTTAGTCATTGCTACTTAGTGTATTTTAGTGCCATCATAACTGATTTGGTTGTAAATAATGTGATGAAACTTATTTTAAATGTGTTTTAATTCAGAGGTTGTTCCAGTGTTAGTGGCGTTGGTGTTCATACATTAATTTCACAAAAGTGGGATCAAATCCACATTTGAAGTAGGTGATTTTATTCACAGATTGCACTTGTAATACATTCATTTAGATGTCAGTAACCTGTGAAAATGATCTTGTCAATCTTCTGCTTGTTGGAAGTTACACTGCATAAGGTTTTATTTCAGCAACACGTATCTTAAATGCAACACAAACTGACAAATTAAACATAAGGTTGAGCCATGAGGTTGACATGTAGTCATCAATAAGGATTTCATTCATACACATTATGCAATAGTTTTCATTCCCTCCTTAGCTGATTTTCTTTCTAGTAACATCAGCTACAACAAAAATGAACAGTGTTGACACAGCTTATAATGTAGTTTATTTTAAAGCAAGCCAAGCAGTTTCCTTTAACATATGAGCAAAATAAAGTGATTCACATGTGCAACAAATAGTTGTTTTGTTGGCTTTTGTAATGATTTTGTCCAATTATCATTGTCTAAATGGTGTTTATGTAAAGGCAGTTTGTAAGGAAGAGTTCAACAGTTTGGCAAAAACACTTATTTTCTTGCCAACAGTTGGATGAGAGATTGATAGCACTCTCATGTCTGAATGGTAAACATGAGGCTACAGTCAGCCGAGCTTAGCGTAAAGACTAAAAATGTGTGTGGGAAATGGTAGAAAGCGTTGTTTTTGGATGGAGTAAACAGCCATGTTGTTTATGTTTATGCATGCCTTTTGTTTGGTTGTTTTTTCTTTATTAAGCAACCTTCTGACGTGACTTTTTTGTCTTTGTTTAACCTTTAGACAAAGCCAGACTAGTTGTTTACGATAAGCTAAGTTAATTATCTCCTATTGTAGCGTCACGTTTAATGGATCCATATGAAAATGGTGTTAATTCGCTTACTGTATCTAACTGTCAGCATGAAAGTAAGAAATACAATTCAAAACATTTTCTTAACAACCCAACTAAAATCCATGAGATGTTGTATTGTTATCTTGTTTTCACTGATTAATATCTCTCATTTTGGTTCTTCTTATAGCTTTTCCTTGAATTGAAAGTTTAGACAAAGCCAACTGATCACTTCAGGGCCCATGAATCTTGTGCAAAATCTCCTACTAAAATCACACTAATACATACAGGTCAGAGGAGAAGGCTATGTGAAAACAGGGTCTTCATCCAACACCATAAATGTTTGATTGGTGATTTGAGCAACATGATTACAGAAAGGCAACATGTCATGCCTCTCCATTATAGTACTTCCATCACAGGTCTGTAGTGTTGAAAGCTGGGTTTTTAAAACCTACACGAGCTTTGTCTTTCTTCTCCCCCCTCTGGGCCAGCGCTGCACCCAGAGGCTCAATGTACTCTGGTGGCCTGCTGCTCTCCTTCTCCTGAAGCATGAATAGTAAACAAGTTTTAAAACTAGACCATATTTTAATTTAAAAAAAATACACACAAAGATTTTAAAATGGGAACTCACCATAATAGCTTGTGTATCCTTCTCAACATTGGTCATGTAATCACTGCAGTCCAGAGAACTGAGGCTTGGGTGGAAGGGGGGGAGAAATCAGTGTAATCATAATATGCACTATTACTTCAGAAAGAGAATGTTGTCGTTTCTCAAATTAGTGACTAGGTTTTTGATTTAAATAAAAGTCACATGGCTTAGCTGGAAGCCGAAAGCCAGGTCTCTGTCACAACATGCTGCAGTAAACACGCTGTGACAAAATGTTCACCTGGAAACCATCCCAGTTTACTGCCCAGCACTGCTACAGAGTGGAGATTGAGAATGCACGTGACTGTGAGCTACTACATTGTCAAACTGTGGTGACAGCGCAAATAGAAAGATGGCGGAGATCATCAAGGAAGGGTCGGTTTTACCTGACTTTGTCTGAGCTCTCCTCGTCCAAGCCCAGGACCATGGCTGTGTCGATGTTGAGGTTGAGAACAGGATTGGCGCTGTTGGAAAATGATGACATACACAGGGTCAAAAATAGGTCATATTGTTAATGTATATTCCTTCATCAGTGCAGATGCTGTCACTTCCTCACCCCTCCATTGTGTACTTGTTGGTTCCAGGTACCACAGGCCCACTTTTTGGGTTGTCAGAATTCACCATGGATGCTGAGTTCATGGCTTTAGCTGCCTTCAGCTTTCTCTTGTAGCTGTGATGTGAAATGCGATGATGAATAAACAGACACAGTACCCCTCTTAGATGTTTTTACAACAGGCAAAACAAAGACTTTTGGCTTTATTGGAATAAATGGTATGTTTTTGTTCTGCCCCTAACTTTATTCCAAATCCCTTTTCTTACTTTCTGCGAGTGCACATTAGAGAAGTGATGAGGACAATCAGCACAATGAGGAGGCCTCCCACAATCCCCAGCAGGATGTACTGTACAGGGTTTGACTCTGGTTCATTCACAGGGGCCTTCCCCTGAAAATGAAGTACAAAATCGGTCGTTATACTGTTGTTTGTAGACATATAAGGTTTAATTTACTCTTGTTGTACTCTTATAGTTGTTGCTGTCAGTACAGTTCTGACACATTTTCATTTCACACCCTATTATTCATAAATTACACTAAAATATAAGTGAAATAAAACCATATACCAGTTAGTATTTATTTTATTTTTGGATCAATTTCAAACATTAAGACACTTCTCTGAAATTCTCCTGTGCTGCAATAAACTCCTGTCAATAAAATGAAAAACTGTAGTAATAATATATGCTAAATTATGACTTGATGCAAATAAATGAGAAAATGTTTTAACAGACCAACCGTTTTGTGAATGTTGCTGAATAACAACAGCAAGATGAAATGAGTTGTTCTTCATTTCTGCTATTACTAGCAAATAAAACAAATGTATAATTTATAAATATTTCTCTCAAACTAGACAACATTAAATATAAAACCTTGAAACGTTTGTCTTCCTTTACACATGACAGATTGTTATGTATGTGCATTATATTATTTAAGTACATTTAATCAAGTACTGTACTTAAGAATATTTTTGACGTATCTGCACTTAATTTTCATTTCCTGCTACTTCATACTTCAACTTCAGAGATAAATATTGTACTTTGTACTCACTACATTTATTTGATAACTTTAGTTACTAGTTACTTTTTAGAAAAATATTAATAAAACTAAATACAATTTTACACAAGATTTATTGATCCTTGGTGTAAAGCTACCCAGCAGTAATTCAAATTCTAGGCATATAAGGCAGTTAAAATGAGCTCTGCCTTTACGAGCTGCAACATTAAATGTGATCTACAAAATAATACATGAATAATTATAATTGAATAATATGATGTACATCAGTTTGAACTGTGCCATTTTGCATAATGAGTACTTTTACTTTTGATACTTTAAGTCTATTTTCTGCAAATACGGTTGCACTTTTACTTAACTGACATTTTGAATTCAAGACTTTTACTTATTACACTGTGGTATTGCTGCTTTTGCTTAAGTAAACAATCTGAGTTCTTCTTCAACCACTGAGTTTATTAGGGTTATAGAAACTCATTTGAGATACTGTGTGCTACTTTGTCAGAGAGACATTTTTAGCCATCAACTAAACAAGTCTCAGAAATAAAACATATGAGCTACAGTTAATCTACGCCTACACAACAAATGATCATTAATTTTAGCTTCCTGTGAGGCCCATTAAGTTGCATCATTTGTATCTGTCACAGCAAACATGTCAAATATTGTGAGGCCCATTAAGTAAGTATCTGTCACAGCAAACATGTCAAATAGATATTTACTTTTTGAACTTTTTTCATTTCACTTGAATCAATGATTTCTACATAAGAACAATGACAAAAACAAACTGCTGCAGTGCTACTGATGGTGCATGTTATTCTGATTTAGCTTAACTTGGACAGACATGTTGTCCCAAAGGAGAAAAAAAAAACTCTTCCAGCAGAGTAAAAAATGTTTTCATTAACAGCAGTGGGAGAGGAAATGCTTGAAAAGTACTACAAAAATTTACAAGAGGAATGTAAAGCTACTGTAATTAAGCTGATAACACAGACACTGCAATATGACATAAAAGAGCCACATGCTTAATTAACAGAAAAGTAACCTTTAAGAATGCTTGTACTTACAATGTAATTGAGGCCCAGGTTTGTGAGTTGTAAATAATGATTGGGATCAGACAGCATAATCTCCACTTCAGTAGAGGTAAGAGCTGTCCCATTGGCATAGACAAAATATACCTCAACAACAGTGACAGGTGAGGCCCTGCGAGAAGAATATAAAGCACTCACCGTTAATATGATGAACCTAAATCAATAATTCAATAATTCTTCAATCCAAAATTTAAATCCTCTTGTGCTGCTGTAATTATGATCTAGTATTATCATCAATTAATTTAGCTTCATTATATAATGGTTTACAGACACACTGGCACCACCTAGTGGTCACAAATAGTCTAAGTATGCAAGTGAAAAACTGCCAACACCAGGCAATAATTTATAAACTGTATTCACAGGCTGCATAATATATTTTGATGTAACAGGAACTTACCTGGATGTTTCAGCACTGATAGCCCTGATTGCAACAATCCTTGGTACAGCCTTGGTGGCAGAGGTAAGTGCTCTGCAAATGTGGAGATCAGGAAAACAGGTTTGTTAACTACAAAAAAATGTTTAAGAAATGCTGCAATTTTTTGTCAGAAGAGTCAAACTTAATTAAAAGGGAGTATAGGCTGGAAGAATGTATACCTGACAATGTCATTTTGTTCTTTTTCAACTTCCGATACAGATTTGGTAAACTGTAGTTCAACTTTATATGATTCATCAACTGTGAAAATCTACAATGTAAAAAGAACATAAGTATTACTAAAGGAGACAAGATCATTCTTGTGTGATGTGAACTCAGCTGCATGATTTTAATCACTCACTTCCAGTACAGTGCTGTTGGAGAGGCCGCCAGTATCAGTTGCTGTTACTGTTACCAAATACTTCCCTTTCAGTGTAATGTCAAGTCCTTCAGTAGTTCTGTGGAAAGTTGAAAGAACCATGAGTGCAGCCATGACTGATTATGAAATAAAAGGTACAGACATATAACAAGCCCCCACCATACAGGCGCAGATCTAGAAATATTTGAAAAGGGTGGTGGCACATTGTCTTGTGTCTTGTGGTTGTTTTGTGTCTGTTGCCATTTTGCTTCTTTATGATTCTTTTGTGTCTCTTTGTCACAGTTTAGAGTCAGCCACAAAATTTTGTGTCTCTTCTTTGGTTTTGTGTTTGTTTTGTATCTCTCCTGTCGCTATGTGTTGTGTGCTATAGTTGTATCTCTCCGTGGTAATATTACATGTCTTCAAGGTCAAGGTCATTTTGTGGCTCTTTATTGAAATATTGCATCGATGTGACAGTTTTCTGTCTATTTGTGGACATTGTGTAGTTAGTTTGTATTTGTTTTTGTTTGTAGTTTTCGATTTCAGTTTGTTTCACACTTCTTTGTGGTAGTTTTGCATTTCTTTGTAGTTTCCAACTACAGGTATTAACATTCACTTTGAACACAACATCTGCTCTGTGGGCCTCCTTATCTTGGACTCCTGTGCAACATTTACATCAGAAAGACATATGCCAGTATGATGCTGATGGATGACACTGTACTCACTGAATAATCCCAACATAAACGTCTTTCTGCTGTGTGGTGACGGCCTCAAACAGCATCCTTGTGATGTCAGTTGTACGATTGTTGGCATCATTAAACTGAATTTTTGTTACTTTAAATTCAATCTGCCTGTTTATTCCTGTGTCACGATCTGTAGCCTGAGAACATCAAGACACAAGCAAGGATGTCTGAGCATTATGCCACATATCTCATTAGCAACCTGAAAGTTATTTGTTTTTCTGTCATACTCACAGTGGCTGCTGCAACCGATGTCCCTTTACTTGCACCTTCTGACACCACAACTAAAGTACAAAGAAGGGAAGCCACTATTAAGTCACCGACATACAATCTTTGACTGATACTGCTTACAAAACAGACAAAGTGATTAAAAAATGACTCAGTTTACCCCAATGTTGTGTATTTGCAATTTTTATGTTGTATAAATTGTTGTTGCTGTTGTAAGTTATTTCTAGTTTAAATATGACTGCTTTAATCTTTGTTATAAAATTATGAAGACTACAACTGCTATTAACTTTAATAATACTAATTTTAAAAAGTTGACTTCCACTAATAAAATCTCAGACATACTCACCAAATACAGAATCTGAAGGAATGAATTCTGGAGCGTTGTCATTAATGTCTTCAATGTTGATCACCATTTGTCCTGAAACATATCAAACAAAACCAGTAAGCCTGCTTGTGTCTACAGTGTATGTGTGTAGGTCTGGTTTTGATGAATTTACTTTTAACTTATTCTTTACTTTCTGTTTTTATTGTGCTGTATTTACCAGTACTGGATGCTCTTATGCGTTTACCTTCACGTAACCCATTACTGACCTGTTGTGGCACTGCTGTTCTCTCCTTTCTCTGTGTACGTATCCACCACCTGAGCCTCTATCACTGCCTGGTCACATTCTTCATAATCCACAGCGGCCACCGGGTTGACTCTGACCTCCCCCGTTGGATCAAGGATAAACCAGTTGCAAGATTTTAAAACACCGCTGCATCTGCATTTCATCGATACCAGCTCGTAGATCAGCGAGTTATTTCCATCTTTGTCATACCCGATGAATCTCCCAATAGCCCCAGTAATGGTGGTGTTCTCCTTCACTGTCACAGGTGGTGTTGGCTTGAACTCGGGCCTCTCATCATTCACATCTAATACGTCCACCTCCACAGTCACTACAGCTGTCCTTTCTTCCAGATCTGCTGCCTCTACCTGCATTATGAATTTGTTGCGAGCACTCTCATAGTCCAACTCAATATCACGGTCTACAGTGATGTCTCCCCTATAACCTCTGTCCTCAGGAAAGCTGCGAATCATGAAGCTGCCAAAGCTTCCGTCAGTGATGGTAAAAGAAATGCGATTAAAGTCACTTGTTTGGTCCAAATCCTCAGCGTAAACAGAACCCACATATGCACCTGATTTGGATGGAAAAATACAATTAAAACCCATTCACCAAATTCTGAATACTTGAAATCCATTTACAAAATTAAATACCGACCCTTTACTCCTTCATTAACAGCAAATTTGTAAGAAGAGGCTTTAAATTTTGGTGCGTTGTCATTGACATCCTGGGATGCATCAAAAGGAAACACAGTTATCATCCACATCAGAAATGACAGCATCAATAACAGCACACACACACATATATTGCTCATGTCTTACCTCTACAGTGATAATAACTGTAGCCGTACTGGATTGTGGGGGCGTACCCTTGTCAGTAGCAGTTACACTGAGCTCTATCATCCCGTCCAAGTCTGGGACTAGGTCCTCACGGTCCAGTTTACCTCTGTTTTTCAGTACACCAGTGTCAGGGTCGATGGTGAAGTTATTACTGTATGTGCTCGGCACGATTCCATACACGATTTGGCTGTTATTTGTACCTGGCTCATCTGCATCAGTAGCCTGTCCAAATGAGGAAAAATTGTTATGAAACAGTATTTTACACTAAAATGTGCCTGAAGTTGGGCAAGCGTTTGTATGAAATCCCTGTCAATTCTTCCACATTTTATATATATATATATATGTATACACTGTATACTACATATATATAATACCTATTTATTAGGCAGATGATCAAATAAGTCAGACATTCTATTAAACACAGCATCAACTCCTATGAGATGGAAATATTTACTGTTCTCTTATTGCTCTCTCTCTCTCTCTCTCTCTTAGTTACCTGTATATTAACTTCAACTTGTGCACCCTCTTTAACACGCACGAGGTAAGGGTCACTGTTGAAGACTGGATGTTCATCATTGATGTCAGTCACAGTGATCTCTAATAGTGTCATGCCAGGCTTGCCATCTGTGTCTCTGGCCTGCAGAGTCGCTGAAAACAGAGATCTGACCTCGCGATCCAACAAGCTTCCATCCTTCACATAAACTGCACCTGTATGTTGGTTCACATCAAAATATCTGAAAACACAGAGACAGACTCCTCAGTTGTGCTTGTCTCAGTTTGCATGACAGCAAAAAAAGCACATAATGGTTGCTTTCAAATAACTAAACTAACTATAGTTTGGTAGACATACGTGTCTGGAAGAAGTTTGTAGGTGAGGTTGCCTTGATCCATTGTGTCAGGATCCTCTGCCTGGAGAGAGGGGAACTGCATTTCAAGTACTATTCAAAAGTTTCTGACAAGTACGCTCAAACTGCCTGTGCAAGAAAAAAAGATTATTAAAGACTTACAGTAATGGTTTCCACTATTGTCCCAGTAGGAGAATTCTCAGCCACAGCCAACTTATATGTGTCCTTTGGATCTGTGCAAGAAAAAAAGATTATTAAGGACTTACAGTAATGGTTTCCACTGTTGTATCAGTAGGAGAATTCTCAGGCACAGCCAACTTATATGTGTCCTTTGGAAACTTGGGGCTGTTGTCATTGGTGCCCTTGATGTTTATTGTAACTGTAAGTGGAAGCTGGCTTTACCTTGATCTATGGCGATCACCTTTACCAATGCACAGAACAGTAAACAAAAACAAGAGACACCACTAATATTATTAGCACAGACTCATGGCCTGTATTAACCTTTCTTACCTGTAGAACCATTTGTTTTTGTACTTCAAAATCCAGCTTTTCAGGTTTCTTGATCTGAAGCTGAACTTTGCTATCAGACAAGGTAGATTTAGGCACCACAGAAAACACATCCTTGTCAGTTCCTTCCAGAAATAGTTCAATTTGAGGACTCTGTGGAAATCCAACAAAGAGATTTGTGCTTGGATAGTTCAGTTTGAGAATCCTGGGGAAATCCAACAAAGAGATTTGTGCTTGATCATTAATGTTACTCAGAGCTTGTCACTTAGTTTACATGCATCACAGGAAAATATCATCTTTTTGTTTCCTTACCTTATCGGGATCTCTGACCGTCATGTTGAAGGAAATAAGCCCCACCGAGTTCTCAAAAACCTCTCCTGTGAAGTGACTTGCCTTGACACAGGAGGGCTTGTCTTCTGTGCCTCCACACTCGTAAAACTCTGGCTTGTTGTCATTTTTGTCAATGATGTTGATCTGTACTTTTGCAGTGGTGCTGGCACGGACCCCATTGATGTTCAGTTGAGACTCAGTGGCCTAAAAGCAATAGAATTTCAGAAGTTTTACTCCCTCATTGGTTTCCAAAATAAAAGTTCAGAGTTAAAGAAAGTTCTTAAGGCTCAAGAAGACTCAGTATACACAAATAAAATTTTGAGATAGTCTCAGATTTGTGTGAATCTTAGTCATAAGCGCTATGTACTTCATCTTTTACACAACCTAACACATCAAGTCGAAATATGTTACCGCATAACATAATTAGGAAACTGTATTTTACTTTAGTTATAACCACATTATAACATTACATTATAAACACAAAACATAAAAGAAGATGCGAGTGCCTCACAAAGCACTGTGCAAAACTAAGAAGAAAACCATCATGAGACTCTAGATGGAGTTGAAAGCCAGAGAAAAAAGTGTTACATTTGAGGCCAACATGATGTCCACTGCTAGGCTCTGCAAGACCAAAGGCTCAATCATCTGAGCTGTAGCCTAGACCTAGGCGTATCTAGCAACAGCTGGTGGGTGGACCTGAGTGATCTTGCTGGGACATGGATATGTACCAGCTAGACAATGTAAAGCCAGCGAATTGAGGCAAGAATCCAGTTATACAGGCATGTTTCCAGATGGTTGTCAGGAGGTGAACTGCAGCATTTTGCACAAGCTGAAGACATCAGAGGGATGATCGACTAAAGTAAGTTCAGAAACAAAGATCACACCTCATTTTTATTCAGTTTCCTGTGTCTAAATTTGTTGTTTTTAACTTTCCCTTACAAACACCTTTGGTGCTCCCTCACCTTCTTCTCTCTCATTGCAGAAACCATCGCAGGATGATGCAGCAATAAGGCTCACCAAGATGTTGCTCCCACACCAAGCCTCACTCCCTGGGTTCCTTTCAATTACACCTTCTGCCTCATTCGACCATGTGCTCATCCCCCATTTCAAGAATGTCTCTCATGATTCTTATGTTTCTTCAAGGTAACTGAAACCCTTTTTTATGTTTCTTCTTTCAGCCTCATTTTAAAGCAAAACACAATTACTTTCATCTCACTGGCAATGATGTATTAACTTGGGTGCTCAGTTTAGAACTACAGTAAATAGGCTCAGAGACCAATGAGAAGTTGAGTAAAACTATATTTTTAACATCTTGGAATAATTTGATATTTTGGGAAGTATGTTTATTCACTTCTTTAGCAAGAGTTAAATGAGAATCACTGCTTACTGCCACTTCTAAAACTACCTTACAATTAGATCTCAGTTGTTTAATCCATGCAAAAAGAGACACGTAAAAAAAAATAATTAAAAAACACTTTTAGGTTTTAAGGAAACACTGAGCCATGTTGCTATGAAGAAGTGCAATATACTCACTGTAATATTGTACTCACGTCTTCAAGGTATTCATTTATTTGTTAGTACTAGTGAATCCTTTTCTAAAATGGTCACATTGAAACATTTAAAAAAGTATTGTTGTCTGGTTTACAGACAGGGATGGAGCAGGACAGGACAGTAACGCAGTAATGACAAAAAGTACAGTTCTGTATATCTACTGAGAGCAGACCCAACCTTACACAAAGACAAAGACAAACTCACAGAAACAGTTAAAAGTTAAATAGAGGTGGAAACTGATGTAATACTTAAACAAAATTTTTACCTTTACAGTCAGGTTAACTGTGTCACCAATAGCTTCTCTGTCAATGGGTGACAACACAGATATGACACCATCTTCACTTGAAATAGTAAATAGGCCATCTGGAACTGAATCTGTCAAACAATATAAAAAAACACAAAAAGTTTTTACTTTCTCTGTCAGTGCACACAGTAAATTCATGGTTATTAATATTCAGTTAAAAGTACGATAAGGAGGGTGAGCATTTATATGAAAGCCCAGTATTCTTGTTAACTGTTTTGACTGGGCCCCACAGTAGATATCAAGCCATACTGTCATAAGTCTGCTGGGCTCCATGACAGGCGACACCATTCTCTAATTCTACCATACCTATAATTAACTTATTTCAACTTATTTTCTTCAGATTTTTGAGGCTCACCTTCAATGCTGTATATCATAGCATCATTGATTCCTGTGTCCTGGTCAAGGGCAGTCACTGTTAACACAGACTGGCCCTGACAAAAGAAAACAAGATTTTCTGAATTCAGAAGTGGCTGAAAGTCTTTTAATTTACACACGTGAAACATGGCGACTCTGTAAATAATTGACTGGTGGTGTACACTGGATTACCATTGGTAGTACCACTGCAATTTGCTTTTTACTCACTTTTTATAGCACATTTTATGACACAGCCCTCTGAATATAATCTATCAGCACTCACCACAGAAGACTCCTCTAGAACATTCCCTATGTAGGGAAGATTGATGAACTGTGGGTCAAGATCTGGGACGTCCACAACCGTAATGATGGAAAAAGTAACACTTGAGAGGGGATCCTTTTTCTTATCACAGCCGCCTCCACCATCCTGTTATAGGACACGCAAGGTCATTAAAATTCAAAAATGTTAATCAGCTTGTACAAGAAGATGTTCTTTTCCAAGATAATAATTATAGACTAGTAAATAAATTAATTGAAATATGTAAAACATATGAAAAGCAATAAATTGATACATTAATGTATCAAGTTTAAATTTTGGTTGAATGACAGTGTTGTCAAATTGCAAAATATGATCAAACCAGAAAGCATAAATATTCAAGGATTAAATTCAGAAAAACAACATAATTAACAAAACCAAAAAGTTATATTTAAAAGTCACACAACATTTGAAAATCATTTGTGCTGTATTAATAGCATAAGAAATTTAAATTAATCACTTCCAGTATCGGTGTAACTTTTTATTCACAAAGGAACAGAACTCCTTAATTTTATAGCTTAAAGGCTGATAAACATTTCATATTTAGTTAAAGGTAAATGTACTGTATATGAAATAAGCCAGTCTCATGGGTAAACAATTCAATGTGCTTATATTATTATGAATGTAAGTTTAAAACTGTTTCATATGAGGGACCCTTAGAGACATTAACCAGAATTGTCCTCTCTCATCCACCTATGAAACCAGTCATTCACATGCTATACTGATAACCACACACACACACACACACACACACACACACACACAAAAGTGACACACTTTCATAGATAAGAGTGAAAAGCTCTCAAACAATCAACTGAAAAGTTATACACTCACATACACAAATGAAAAGCTCTCACACCCTCTACTAAAAAGCTTTTACACAAACTAGTAAAATGTAGTTATATACAGTACAAACCTGATAAATCTCCTCTTAGACTGACATATGAAATCATTCACATTATACTCACACACATACAAGTGAAATTCTTTTACACACTCAAGTGAAATGCTCTAATAAAGACTAGTGAAAGCTTTCACACACACCAGAGGCCAAGAGGATTTCAGTTAAAACGAAAGGTGGCTGAAAAAACAAAGCACATTTCAAAATACATCCTAATGACGTTTCTTTGCCACACTGATGTCTGCTCAACAGCCTGCATATAGTCCCAGTGAAGCAGTTGCGGTAATTAACAATATACTGGCCTCAGCGAGACCACCAGAACCCTGTCAAATTGACAACAACTGGACAGCAGCCAAGTGCTGCAACTCCAAGTATGGACATGTCGGACAGTAACCTAGCATCGCTCTTCCCATCCCGCCAGCGTAGCAGCATGTCACTACCTTCTACAACTCCACTAAGGAGAGAATGTGCACCACGTTATCAAGCACAGAGAGTGTTTCAGTGGTGTGTGGAACAGCACTTCCCTTTTCTGTGTGTGAGATTTTCAGGACAATATATGAATGGTTTCATATGTAAATGTGAGAGCTGTATATATAAGCACATTTTACTGGTGTGTGTGAAAGGTTTCAGTAGTGTATTTAAAAAGTTTAACTAGTCTTTATGACAGCATTCCACTTATGCGGGTGTGTGGTTTTCAGTAAATCATGTGAATGACTGGTTTCAAATGTGGATGTGGTTATTCTGGTTAATGTCTTTAAGGGTCCCTCACAGTCTCACATAAAGAAATATTTTAATATTACGAAAATATGATTATTCAGTTTCTTGCCCAGAGTTATTGATACCTCTCTCACACCTCTCTGTTTATTATGAAACTTGTGCCAGGAGCTGGTTAGCTCTAAACACTGAAAATGGGGTGGAGACTGGTAGTCGGGCACTGTCCAAAACTAAAAGAAAGTCTAACAGCACCTTAAAAGATTACTGATTAATATGGTTAAACAAAATAGTTTAATTCACACAAAGACTGAAGTCTAAAAGTGACAAATAGTGGTTTCAGCTAGGACAAAACCATATTAGCTGTTTCCTAGTTTCAAGTCTTGCTAAGCTAAGCTAACAGACTGCTGGTGGTAGCCTCACATTGACCGTAGAGATATGAAAATGGCATTCATCTTCTCATGTAACTCTTAGCAAGAAACCAGGTAACCATAATTAAAAAATGTTCAACTATTGCTTTTAATGTTTAAGGAAATGTGAGCTTATACTAAGAAGTGTTTGATGATTTAGGGAGGCTTTGTCACTACTTTTTCTTAGTAATTGTCATTGATGGCAAATATATAAAACCCAAACTCAACTTGAAGCGTTATACTTACAGTTGCATTTATCTTCAGCCGATAGGAAGTGCCGAGAGAAGTATAATTCAGACTCCCATTTAAGATGACTGCACCAGTTATTTCTGTGATATTAAACAGACTGGATCCATCTTTTGGAATGACCTAAAAAAACAGTGTAGTTGATGTTTTAATAATGTTTATGGCACATCAACATATAATATTAATGAATAAAGTAAATAAGCTTACTTCATCAATGTTATATCGAACAACACCAGCAGTTCCAGTGTCAGCATCAGTGGCATGCACCTTAAAGAGAGTTGTACCTACAGGGGTATTCTAATGATAAACCCAAAAGAAAAAGAAGGCAACACAGGTAATCGAGAACGACTCGTGAAGAAAGTGGACAGCATGATCGACTTAGCCATAATTATGAACTAATCATTACCTAATGATTCACTGATATAGTATCTCCCATTCAGTTCTCTAGTAACTAATCATTATTAGATTTACATTAAAAGTTGAATGATGCAGATCATTCCCCATTTGTTCCCTAGTAACCAATCATATTTTGTGTACCGCATTGTGTGAAGTGTTATCTATAAAAGGAAGCAGAAAATGAAACGCTTCCATGTCTCTCAGCATTAACAACTGTGTAAACTAAATTTGACATAGTAACAGATTGGCAAATTAATGCCTATCTCTCACCAATCAATATATAATGTTAAGCTGACATTAATTCTATTAACAACAAAAAATACTGGGGTAGAAAAGAGAACTATTAACTTGGTTGACTTACTTCTTTGATTTCAGTATCATATGAAGGATTCTCAAATATGGGCTTGTTGTCGTTGGCATCTTCTAATATTATTGTCAACTCCTCTCCTGTCTGGAAGACATGGAATGATGCCTTTTATTAATAAAATGATAAAACATACCGATAAGATATCAATACAAAAAAAAAATGGATGAGTAACACAAACTTAAATGTCACTTACAGAACTGAAACCATCAGAGACAACAACGTCAAGGTTCATTACATTGCCTGCCTATAATTTAAAAAAATAATAATTAAAAATAAATAAATACACAGATAAAACACATAATCAAAATGAGGTTGTTGACGACCGAAGGGTCTCACTACACCATACCTCTCGATCTAGTGGCTTTTCGACTATTACATCCCCAGTATTTTTGATTACTTTGAAGTATGGGGCATTGGTCCCAGAAAGTGTATAAGTCAGTGGGTCATTGTCTGCGTCTGTTGCGTCTATTTTAAATGCAGTAACACCTGTGAAAACAACATCAAGTAGAACATGTCAAATTGTGTGCAGTATTTATTGAAGCATAATATGGCAAAAAGGAAATAAAAAGCATTTTCAATATTCCACACACACACACGTACCTTTGGGGGTGGCTTCACATACAGGATAAGCTCTAGCGTTGATTACAGGGGCGCTATTTGCTGTTGAAACACACAGTATTTAAGTGTTAGGTAGTAAAGGCATAATGACAAAATTACAGTAAAATCAAATGAATACTAACCATTAGTTAAGCTAAGAAGACACAACAGTAGTACACTTCTTGTGGTCTCTTCCATGTCTGCATGAAAACAAAGACAACAAACAAAATACTTATATAATACCCTGGTGCTTTGAGCTAACATGGTGCTGTTTAGTCGATATAATTAATAATCCAATCTGTTGGCCATATTAATTTAGTGTGTTAGCATATTAACATTTGCTCATCAGCACCAAAGTACAGCTGACTTTGATGGGAGTATCATTAGTATTGCAAGTATTTGGTGTTGGAAAAACAAAACCTAGCTGTACTACATTAAGTTATTACAAGAAATCCTCAGGCCACCATGAATGTCTGTACCAAATTTCATAGCAATCCATCCCATACTGTAGTTATCAAGACAATGTCATTAAAAAACAAATACATTATCCTGTTGGTGATGTTACATGTACTGTAAACACCAAAGTCTGGAGGATTTATGCTCTGGGGACCATGAATGTCCATACAATCCATTAAGTATTTGCTGAGATATTTCAGTCTGGACCAAAGTTGACAACTGACTAACACCAACAGATGTAAAATTGTGATATTTTTCACTATTATTGTTTTATAGACTTAATAATAAATCATATAATTTAAAAAAATCAACTGATTAATGGATAATGAAAATAATTGTAAATTGCAAGCCTGCTTGTAAGGCACAATTACGCAATTTCCAAATTAAAGAAATGTCTTTTTTTTTTTTTAAACTGTCACTTAAAGAGACAATCTGAGGTAGAATACGTATATACACAATGAATTGTGCATTTTATTCCTCTGAATAAGTAGTAAGTAAGTAATTTATGATGTCGGATGTAAGCAGTTTCGTTTCACAGATATTCAAAGTTACCTGATAAACACATTGGGTGGAAAACTGCTCATGCCCTGATAATACTCTGGTTTGAAATTTAACAGTGTACTGCACATTTGGCCACACCCAAATCATATAACATCATAAAAGGCAGTTAAAACACCCCATGTCACGTCGCTGAGTGAGGTGCCATGACATGCTGAAAAGTTCCAAAGTTGGAGGTACACTGACTTAAAGGCAAAGCTATATTATTTGAAATGATATTATGTTAGAAAATATGGTTACAACCATTTTTTCAATATAAGCAAGAATTGGTACAGTACAATATTGGAGATTTTAATCAAACAAGAGCAACATGTAAAACACATTCTGAGAACATCTGGGCGTATTTTTGTAGTTTTGCCTTACATTCAGTTGAGAACAGAACCCCTTAAACTCACACCTTAAATTAAGGTAAAATAATTGTTAAAATTAAGGTGCATGAAATAAATTTAATAGGTAAAAATAACTGAAGTTAATCCTCAGAAGAACAAAGTCAAGTCAGAAATTTTACAATCAGATTTTACATTCCTGATTTTGTTTGAAAATTTTTATCTAGGTTTTATTTAGGGAATTGTGCTTTAAGGAACCCTGGGTTTATATGAATGATTAAAATTACTTTAAGCTTTTTAAGGGGTTTGCCAATAGTTCCGTTGTTTCTACTTGGTGTAAAGACTGAAAAGAGTTCAAATCTGTACTTGTGCCAAGTTTTGGATGTTATGAGCAATGACAGTTTGTACATGAGAATAAACAGAATTTTAATGCTTGTTTTCAGGATTGTTCAGTCCAGTATAATCAGTAGCTATCAAAAGAGGAGTACAGACTTTAATTCTATCCTAACATCCAACTGAAAAGAGTGACATATCCTGTATATTTCTTATCTATTCAGTTACAACACATTTATGCATGTACATATTGAGAATTGAAATTGCATTAGTCACTGAGCTCTATAGTCACTAAAACGACACACTAACACTTTTAAAAAGTCAATCTGATTTAAAATGCAGCAGTCAGACTTACCAGATGGTGTTCACGGAGAAGCTTCTCCTTTCCTTATGTCTGTATCAGACCTTTGTCTCTTGTCTCTCCCATTGATTATCATCTGCTGCTGTAAATATAAATGATTAACACATACGAGCACTGTCAGTAGCATCATACTTCACCTCCTTCTTGTTTGTTTGTAAAAGAAAAAACACCCAAATGCACTTTTACTGATTGTTAAAATTAAGACAGATCAACTTTGCAAAACTGAAAATATCCAACTGTTGTTTGCTCCCACACATTGCTATATTATGGCTCTTTAAGCCTGGATAATAATGAGTGAACTCTGCCCAGCCCTGTCACTAATACATATCGTGCCATACTGGGTCACTAGTGTCCATACCCAAACCCCAGGAGCATGTGAACTGCTTTTTTGTCTGAATGGGTGCTTCTGTTGTCATGGCAGCAACATCAGTCTGTTTACTTCTTTTGAGAAAAGCCAGTGTGACCAAAGCCCTTTTTAATACGTGTCTCATCAGAACCAATGACTGGACTGATGTCTAGATCCATGTGCCACTCTAATGAGCGTAAACCCCCACCCCTCTCTGGTCTGCTCTCCTAATTAAAGGGCATCACACAAAGGATAATTTTCTCTTGTACCCACTGGCTTCATTCATAATCAGATATTTGCCTCTACAGAAAAGCATGACACTTCACCTCTTTACGCTAATGAGAAACATTTACTGTATGTTCCAAACAAAACAGGTGTTATATCAGGCTTCTTTGGGTTTGGAAGAGAACCTACCACAAACATTTCTGGCATAAAACTAATAAAAAATAAAGCCAAAATAAGTGCTATTCATTGTAAAATAAAAAAAATATGTATCTAAAGAGAGAAAACTGATATTTCAATAGGAATACAGTGTTTAAACTGTAACATGCTAGGGCTCTGAGTGTCTGTATCAAGGGACAGCAGTGCTTTAAGCTAAATGCTAACACAGGATTGCTAAAATGCACATGCTAACATGCTGATGCTATACTGCTTACTATGCTACTACCATTATCATGCTAACATTTCATAATTAGTGCAAACACATATGGAGAGGCAGTGGCTGAAGGGAACATGAATGCCTGAGCCACATTTTATGGCAATCCATCCAAAAGCTGTTCGGTTATTCCAGTTTGAATCAGTGGTGGACAGATGAATAAATTAGACTTCTGGCAGAGATAGAATAAGCTGATGCTAACAAGCTGATGCAAGTTTATCATTTTAGTTGAGCCTGATGGGAATGTCAGTTTAATTAAAAGTAAAAACATCACCAGAGTCTAAACAATTCTTCCTGTGTGGGCCACATATGTATACGTACCAAATTTCAAACTAATCCATCTTATATTTAATGAAGCAGTCCACTCAAAACCAGAAATACTTATCATAGTTGAGCTGGGTGAAAAGTCAGGAGCACACCAGGCTGAAGTAGGAGGCATGCTCAAGCTAATCACGAATGTCTGTAAATAAACAAATAAATAAATAAATAGCACAGCAAGCCATCTAATACTTGTAAAGATACTGTATTTCAGTCTGCACTAAAATGGTGGGCCGACCGACACTGACTGCAGAGCCAAATCAAAGAATGGCTGAGAAACTAATTTGGTTCTATATATGTGATCCAATCCTACTGGGAAGGAATTAAGCTATGAAATAGAGTGTCCCCTTTCTTTAGCAACAATATTATGATGCTAATTTGTTCAGTTAGCCTAAATGTGTCAAATGTCAAAAAGTATCAAAGTGGGTCAGATTGATGAAAAGTATGCTTTTTTTTAAAAAAAAGAACATATTCAGTTGAACAGATTATGAAGAGGAAACAAACTAGTGCTAATAAACCACAGGGATATTATCGTTCAAAGTGTACTCAGTCTGGCTATTGATGACAAACATAGAACTTTGTTCCTATAATCTTATGCAGTTAGACTTTGGTTTATGACTTACCCTGCCACATCTGATCCAGGAAAAGAAATATATACAGTAAATGGGTGGGGACATAATAAAACACTCCTAAAGCAATTCCATTCAACAGAAACTTGAGTTTAAAAAGTAGTAGTTACCGTGACTTTGTGTTTTGAGCAGATGTGAAAAATAATTAGTGCTGCACTTACAAATAGGGTCAAAAGTTAGTTGATATTTACATATATAGGCTTCCACAGAAGACTGCAATATAAACATGTATTAAAAATAGCACTTTTTCAAAAAAGGATTTAAATTATTGTATTATTATATCAAACAATATTACACCTGCATGGCATCTAAAGCCAATCTACACAGACATTACTGAGAAGCAGTGGGGTAAAGTATAAGTACATGTACTAAAGCTTGTACTGAGGTACAATTTTGAAGTGCTTGTAAATTCCTTTAATACCCTGCAACTTTAAGCTATACTATCCACTACACTTCAGATGGACATGTACTTTAGATAGCCTACCATAAGTAGGCCCAAATATTGCTAGTAGCCTAATAGGTTATATACTTTAAGTAAAAATCTGAATGCAGGACCTTTACAGTACATGAACATGGTGTGTGGTATTAACGGGTTTTGCTAAGTTTGGCACACTGTTTTCTGTCCATTACGGTAAAAATGGCAGCATGGCGTGTGGTCTCTGCTCTGGAAATACGCAGAAATGGGGGTGTAACGGGGAAGTGCAGAAACCCAGCACAGCGGTGGAGCTGGATTACCATTTCCTAAACCAAACAGTGGCGATTACAGAAGTAATCTCGGGGGTTGCAACGCCAATAATCACCGCAATATTTAGACAGAATGTACTGATAATACGAGGGTCTAATGTTTAGCACCTTCTTAACAGTAGTGGTGAAATCCACGGAATGTTCCACACTTGAACAGCTGACCGTAGGATGCCGCACTTAGCCTAACGAGATGTGACCATTACAAGGGAAACATCGGTGATCAGATGTTTGCATATTAACAATCGGGTAACTACACTCCTTCTCCTCTTGTTATTGGTTGAATTTTGGAGATGTGTGGTGCGTGTTTATGGGAGATGTTTGGACGGGTTATTAGGGCTGTCATCCTGCTCAACCTCCAGCCCCTCCTTGTTTTGCTGCTGCCGAGTGCGGTGTGGTAATATTTACCTTTAGTCTACGTGTTGTATAGTGCTGCTCCTCTCCTTAGTTAGCTTCTCATTAGGTGCATACTGTTGGATACATGGGATGTACCCTAGTGCGTTACAGTAGAGAATACAAAACAGACGAATACATTATTTATTAACTCTTAAGGACAAATTGGGCCTGAAATGTAGCTTTTAAGGCCTAATAAAGCCTGTGAATCCTCAAGTGCAGTATCAAATACACGGTAGTCTTTGGCATCTGCTCTACAAAACATAAACGAAGTCTTTGTATAATAACTGTTAAAGGTTGCTTCTCACTTGATCATGCAAGTGCAATATTACATAACCGTCTGGGTAGTATAACCTAGGACACTGTGGCCTCCAGTATGAGTCAAAACAGACCGTGGGCCACAGTAGAGTATAGATCTACAGTAAAGTAAAGCAGTGTTCTACTGAATTATCACTTACTTATTATTTAAATGCAACCATTTCATCACTGACCTGAAAATTCCTCAAAATGTCTCTCTCATTTCTTGTGGTAACTTGTCTCCCTTTTATTTATTTATTTACAGGGGGTGTCAGTGCACTACAGCATAAACAATATATCATAGGTCCTGCATTAATTTTAATAACACTTTAAGTACATATTTGTGATAAAATGAGCTTAAAGTCACAGAGTTCACCCTGACTGAATAATTTTATTGTCGTTATTGGATCATTATTACTGATGCATTGCAATGTAAGGAGAACTTTAAAGTATATTTTATATGTTGAGGTTGAACTGCAGTACTTTAAAGTTACTTTACAGTATCTGGTTACTGCCAACACTGTTAACTATTATTTGTAAAAGCACTGTATAGCTATGAGGTAGGTAGCTTACGAAAGAAAGAAAGAATATAATCAACGGAGTAGACCTCTCGGGCAACGTTTTTAAACACTACAAGTAACACAGGACCTGCTTGTTTTGGTTTAATGTAGCTAACACAGTCTGGTCGGCTGCTGTCTGTGTTTGCTACGCGCTGATTGGCTGCTCGGAGAACGAGGCGTGGTTCCACCATAACAATGCATTTCAAGGAACACACACGCGCCAAGGAATGTTGTCTATCTTTGTGTAGCTAACGTCGCATTTTCACGCGTTTAACGGTATATTCAGCTCAGGTAAACGCTGCCGTTCACGGACATGCCATTTTACGGTTTCCAGAGAAAACCTATTCCCTATGCATCTGTTTGAAGCGTCTATAAGCCGACTAGCGTTAGCAAGCTAATAGCTGCACAATTGGGGACATTGTCAAAAATCTCTTGGAGGAGACAGTCGATTGATAGATAGCTAACTTTAGTATCTATCGGGTGGTTGTAGTCGGTTACAGACGATTGCATCAAGGATATCTTGATGGGACACGACATTTCGGAGGCTGAAATACCTGCCATCTCCCCGTCTCACCGAGCAAGCAAATTAGCTAAGAAAGTAAGACGTGAACTGTGCTGGTGGCCAACTCGCATAGCTAAACCTGTCTGTACAATGCACATTTTTGTGTATGGTATAATATTGGAAGTTACATGAGTAACTACAATATGCAGTGGTAACCGAGCAGATGTCCTATTCTTTTATTAGCATGTTGGCTAAGTAGCGGCTAACAACGGTCACTGCAACTGGGTCCTGCTATGTTTTGACAAAGCGTTAGCCTAGCTTGGCTAAAGTTAGCTGCTCTCCTTCAACAGGGGACATCGAATATTCCCTGGCAATAAGAAGCCAAACAGCTGCCGCGACGATAATAGTTCATTTTCGCAGTGACGTGTGCTGGGCTTTGCATATTAGTTAGTTGTAAGAAATTGTGTAATGTTATAGTCGCCCTCAAAATTGCCAGATAGCCCGTGGTTCCGATCGTCTACCACATCTTTTGTTGTTGCTTTGTCTTTTGAGCACATGGCTTTCCATGTTTTTGTTCATGCAGACACAGCGACTCCTATTTATTTTGTCCTCGAGTATACCCCGTAAATTACTAAACACTTGTGAATACTCTACATTTGGGCGTTTCTGTTATACTCTACACATGTAACGGTAACGCATTTGTAATACCTTAAAGATTAATCTAAGAAAATGTATAGCTGAAACCAGATATGTTTGTGGCGCTTTTTCATTGGTAATAACAATAATGTCCTTATAAATGGCCTATATCTTGATTAGTCTAATTGTTATTTATCTGGTAGTTTGCGATAACACTGTTTTAAACGTTGTCTTATGCATTTTAAATGTTGGCATCAGTCATTATGCCAAGTGAGAGAAGTTGTGTGATGTATGCGCCTAAGTACAGTAAATGTAAGATTTCAATTAAAATAGAAGAAGCCTGAAAAGGGTCTATAGAACTGAAACATTGCAGCTAAATATGAACCCCTGAACAACAATGTGTGCCCATGCTTCAGTAAAATATTAAGTCTCAGACGTTTTGTCAGATAGGCCAGGTAGGCCTATTCTATACTTTTAGGGGGTATGCAGTCAGATTCCTTGATTGGACCTAGATGGCCAAGAAGAGGATTTGTGCAGGTATACTGTGTGCTCAGCTGGCAAAGCATAAGAATCAATCTGTCAATTGGCATGTTTTTTTTCTCCCAGGGTTAAGACAATCAGAGGCAACATACAGGTGCCTCCATTGTAAGGTTTCCTTTCCCAGAGTGTGACTCGTCTGCAGGACGTCACCAATGCGACCATGGGAAATAGCAGTAAATAGGCTGCCATCAACAGCCCCCTTAAACCCTAGGAGGTTCCTTGGAGAGCCCTGCAACGCCCCAGTGCATCTCAGGAGAAGGTACGATCTCCAGCTTTTCTTTTCTTTTCTTAAGGCGTTTTTGTTTCTATCGCTCTTTTTTGTATAGATTAGTAGTATTTTACTTAAAAGTATTAAAACAGAGAATGGGATTCTTTCAAATCATCAGCTAAAATGTAAGATTTGTGTCTGACTCATGTTGCCTTAACCACCAGTGAAAACAGCAGTATGCACCTTTTTTTTTAGTTTTCTTGATTGTAAATTTAAAATGAAAGCAGTTGTTAGAAGTAAAGACAAACAGTCTGTGTGCTAGTCATGAACTATAATCATTACAGCAGAACTTTCCTTGTGGGTAATGGCATATGTATAATATTGTGGCAGCTGAATACACTGCATATGTTGGAATATTTTATAGGATTTACCTAGATTAAATTCTCCAGACAATAACTGTTTTATGAGTAATGACATTATATTACTGCAGATCTTAAATCGCTGGCTCTGTAATAATGTCAGGTTATTAGAGCCTCCAGCTGTGTTGACACAGCAACATGTTGCCATGGCTCTAGCCATCAAAACTACACATAGGCTCATTGAAATAAAGGAGATTTTTCAAACACTATAAACTCCTGCTAACACACACCAGCATATACTAAATACAGACTTAAAGTATTAGTGGCTTGTTTTGGCACAAGAAATTTAAAGAAAAGGAAAAAATTGCTAAATTGTGGCTTATGCTCCCAGCAGCCAATATCAATGCATTATGCCAGTAACATAAGAAATATGTACTTTGTTTAGGTTTGGATGCACATACCTGTAATATTGATTTGTATTGATATATTTTTGACTGGGGAAAACTTTACCACTATATTGACTTGTCTTTTGTGTTTTGCAAATCGAAAAATAAAATATCTTAACATTAAAAATTGTCTGTCTGAAAAATCTATTCATTTAAAGGAAACAACTTACTTTTCATGTTTAAGGGAGAATGTACTGCACTGTGATAATATCTTTTTGCTATATGATCTTACAGTCCACCAGTGAGACGCCAGTGGGGGCGACGAGACAGACCTGTACTGCACACTTCCCTGGTCCAGGATGAGAATTTCCATCATCTGCTTTTCTCTCACCATCACCAACAGGTTCCTTTAGATGAGTCCAGACAATACAGCCACACCAGCACACCACCACGCATGCTTCACCCTGCTGCTCACCTGCCACAGCAGAGCCCCATCATGGTGGATCTCCATGACCAGGTAAAAGAACGAAGACAGCCTGATGGATAAAGATGTTCTAACATTAATTAAACATGACTTGGTGTGTTGTCTTCAGTGTCTTAATGTGAGATATGATGAGATCTTTTTGGCAAATTGTGGAGTCACCCCATCTCCCCCTCCCCACTTCTTTTTGCAAAAGATGCACCAGGGATCCGTTCCAATATCATACACTGTTACGACGGTGACGACCCACGGATTTCCCATCCACACTGGGCAGCCCCTTCCAGGGTGCAACACTCAGCAGCTCCCAGCATGCTCGGTAATGTTCAGCGGACAGCTCTCTCTGCTCTGCTGCCTTCCTCCTCCTGTGAGTTTGAAAAGGAAGAGCCCAAATGTCAGTGGCTTCCATGTAGAACATCATACCAGCCATACAATTTGTCACTGTTCATGACTAATAAATAAGCTACTGCTGTTACTGTGCAGGATTTAATGTAATTTAGTTATAAAATATGATTCTGTTGTACATGTAGCCTGTTACACTAGTCCAGAATGATAACTAAAGTGAGAATTGGACAAAACTGTGGTGTTGTGACAGTACTGTTAGTGCTACGGTTTTATGTAATGCATCACTTCAGCTACATACTTACAACATGCTTTCGTTACAACTACCTTGTTGTGAATATAAGTAGTAGGTTTGCCTTGGTTAGGTGCAGTCTGCATCAGAGTGCTCATTTTGGCTGTTGATAAAAATCAAAAAAAGAATATGGACTTAGATAAATTCCCTTCTTGTATGTTTTTCTCTCCTCAGCTCATACAGGCATGCACCATGCAGCATATGCCAGTGTCTTATCAAGCCTTTCCCCCACTGATCTCCAGCGAACATTTTGTATTGCACCCAACCCCATCTGTACCCCCCCACCAGCCGCCGCACCTTACTCCTTTGAGCCAGTTTGTCCCTTTACAGCCTCAGCACCCACGCATGGTGAGTAGTTGACATTCTCTGCCTTTATTGATGAACATAAATGGATGTAGAATTTAATTTCTATTTTGCTCTTTTACATTCACGTGTTGGGTCTAACGGCAACCTTTTCTCTCTCCTCTCAGCCTCTACAGAGGGTAGACAATGAAGTTGACCTAAGAGGGGACCAGCACCCATTAGGGACCTTCTCCTACCCTCCCTCTCATCACCCACCAGCACTGCCTCCTTCTCTGCCCCTACAGTATCTTCCTCAAGAGCCTCTGCATCAGGAGCTTCCCTTCGGAGTGGTAAGAGAGCATCTGAGACGTTTTCAGGCCTTTATTTTCCAGGGACATTGACAGTGCACTTAAAGACTGTCTGCTACACAGGATATCTGCAAGTCTTGAGAAGTCTTAACAGAAGCACTGAATTTAGTTTCCTTAAAAATACCACAGAGGGCATTAAAAACTTGAAAATGTGATTTATGCCTTTTAACAGTTTTGCCTTCCAGCGGCAGGAAATGTAGTTGTTGGGAGAAGTTGAATGTACATAATTGGCTTGTTTCAACAGGGGATTGTACTGCAAACGCTAGTCACTCCTTTTTTTCAGTCAGTACCATGAGAGCTATATCTTAACACTGTCGCCACTCTTAGCTACAAGAGCTATAAGGTTGTTATAAAGGAAGGTGTTGACTTGAGTATAGAGATGTAACGATATTTGTACTTTTGCGACAGAAGACTGTCTCAATAAAGTCGTGGGACTATGATGGTATCCACATATGGTTATTTCATTAGTATAACTGCATGCCGGTCACAGAATTTGAAACTGACATAGCGGATCCTCGACCATCAACTTTTACAGCTGTTGTGTGGCAGCATTTCAGTTTTCCCCTTTCAGGAAATGACACGGGCAGAAAGGAAACTCAGAAACAACTTGCAATTACTGCAGGATGACCACAGTACTAGCCCTTTTTAGGACTGAGACAGTCCTGCATACATCTCACAGAAAGAGTTGGGACCTGACCATGCGCGACAATTTAACGGAGATGGGCAAACAAACCGGATGCACATACGCAATCTAACCACTTAGTAACCACCATTACAGGCTTTTCTATTGAAAAAGTAGACAACAATATTTGAAAAGCACCTCCAATATAGTACAAATCTTACTTGTATGTGGAGTGCCCTAGCTTGGCGCCTTCTTCTCGTCACTCTGGTGTACCAAGCAGTGATTTGCTCACTACTGCACTCAGTGGTTGGGGCATGGGGAGACCAGCTTCAACTGGTCTAGTAGTATACTGAGAAATTTAACCTGCAAGTGTGACTTCTTTTATTTACAAGATCCAGCTGCTGCAATATTTAATCTCATAAAAGGACTGCTGCTTACCGCTGCATTATCTTTTATATACATTATACAAAAAATGCTGGTATATAAATGACTAAAGGGCATTTTTCATCTTTTTTCCTTCTTTTTAATATTGTAATAAATATCTTATCATAGACTTTTTAGCGTGGCCTTATGACTTTTTGATATTGTTACATCCCTAGCTGATTACAACCACTAACTGTATGTGAAGATGGACAATGTTCACTACTTTCTGCCATCATACAAAAGTGAACCCAAACTATTGACTACGGGGGTGGCCATCTTGCTTTTTTGACACATTTTGCAACCAGATTGTGTAAAGTAGTGACCAGAGGTGGAATCACAATATCAGACTGCCAATCAAAGTTGTCGAATCATCCAAAATGTACCTCTTTTCATCTCATCAAATAACTTAAAACTATCATGCTCTCAAGTTCCATTTAAAGCATAGGATAGAATAGTATGCTATAGTATTGAAAATAAAAATGCTTTTTGTTTCTAAAATGTCTGGTGGTCTGAACAAGGGTCTGTTTTTATTTGTACAACAGAATTTCACTAACATTTGTAGCAAAAACTTGCATGATGATGTTAGTTCATTTTTTTTACTTGCTAGTGTATATGCCATCAAAAGTCCAGAACAATGGCACAACTGTTCTATGAGCTGTTCATAGGGGTTTTTACTCATTTTGCTCACAGCTCATTTTTATTATTTGATTTATAATCCTGGCAGATTTCTCCTGAACCTGTTATCATTATTTTGTTCTGTTTTGATCACTATGAAGTACAACTAAAGAAGATGGTGCAATTGATTCAAAACCTTTTGTTTACAGAATTTCATGATGATTTCCTTTCCTCAGCCATATCCCCACATGTTTCCTCGGCGAGTGAGTGGACAGAGATACCGGTTGCAGCAGCCGCTTCCTCCTCCTCCACCCCCTCCATCTTACTACCCAGGCTTCCTCCCTTACTTCCTGTGAGTATATCTGCAGTATACATAAGAACCATGTAGTATAAAATGTATACTGGATTACTGGCCTCAGATTTTTGGTACTGGGATGTTTTTGATTTGAAAATGGATAATTATATATCTATGGAAAGTATTCTTGCGTTTTTTGGGGGGATTTTTATGTCTTGGAGCAAAAATATGGCTTTATATGTAGCCATAAGGAACCCTGTATGCTGTATTAACAAAGTAGACCTAGTTTATTAATGAGAATCTGTTTAAATTTTGGCTCAGTGAAGTGTCAGCTCAGTAATGCATGTGTCTGCAGCACACTACTTGGAAAAAGCACTGCAGTGAACAGGCATGTTGTTTTGTTTTCAATTCGCCACAATCTTTTGGACCAACTTGGCAGTCGTCTGACAACAGTAGGTCAGTAATACCCCATTAGATGTTTAGAGACCAAAAAGATTGCTGAAAGTTTTGAAAGAGGTATATTCGATATTTTTCATAGCTATGAAAGTTGTGCTTGGACTTGGATAGGTAGGTAGGTACTTTATTGATCCCTCAATGGGGAAATTTCAGTGTTTCAGCAGTAATGGAGAACAAACAACATAACACCATGAGAAACAAACACCACACACATATCTTGATAAAAATCAATGTCTCTACTACAGAATTTTTCCTTAACAGTTATGTGTCCGGGATTGCACCATCTGTTATTAAAGTACACCGCCAAACCTCCACCTTTCCTCTTACCACAGTCAGCCGTGCTTCGATCTGCCCGAATTAGTGTAAATCCTTGTAAGGAGACCACAGAATCTGGAGTGTTGTTGTTCATCCAGGTCTTGGTGAAGCATAACCTGTTCTACGATTTTTCACATCTTCTACATTTTCAAGTCTTTGAACAAATTCTACAACTATTAAAATGCCTCCAAGTGGGAAAAGAGCTAATAAATCAGAAGCGAATGAGGGTGTTGAAGCAGAAGAGGATTATATTTCAGCGGCGCAAGTAACAGAGATGTTGAGTCAGCAGAAGCAGATGTACACCGCACTGTTGAGCCAACAACAAGACAACTTCAAAGGTTTTGTGCAACTACTTATGGAGACAAATAACAAGAGACTCGACGACATGACCAGAGAAATACAGGAGATAAAAACGAGTTTGCAGTTTACCCAGCGAGA